GTGAGGGAACAAACTTATGACCAAACACAAGACAGAACACGAAACAATGGGAATAATTTGGATGTGAGAACTGCATAAGGACTGTTGTCCCATACTTCCTCCTGTTGCTTCCAAATTGGTTCGGGGGTCTTGAAGTGGGTAGAATATAGTTGTGCATTAATTTGCTATTGATTGCTGGTGATGACTTTTTTTGTGTAGTGCCTCGCTGATGTCGAGCCGCCTGCTCTCACTGTACCTAGTGATGATTTCTGTCTTGCTTATTAAGATTTCTCTGGTGATGGGCTGGTTGTGGGAAGAGATTATATGTTCCTTGATGGAGCCCTGTTGCTTATGCATTGCTAATCGCCTGGAAAGAGACGTTGTTGTCTTGCTTATATACTGAGTTTTTGGGGCTTACAGCCACCAAGTGGGCATTGATAGGCATAGAAGACGTTGGTCTCCTTTAAGGCATTCTGCTTGGTATGTGGAGAGTTTTTCATGAGTAGATTGGCCGTTTTTTGGTTTTATAATAAATTGTCAATTGTATCTTCTGATTTTTGTCTGTAGGGATAACGTTCCTATCGACAATATCTTTCAGGACCCTTTCCTCCGTTTTATGAGCCGTCGAAAAGAAGTTCCTGTAAAAAAGTCTAATAAGGGGTACAAGTGTTGTTGGTTGACTCTTCAGAGGTTGCATGGCGTTTCACCTTTCTATTTATGATATCTTCAACGAAACCGTTAGAGAAGCCGTTGTTGACTAGGACCTGCCTTACCCTACAGGGTTCTTCATCGACTTGCTTCCAATCTGAGCTGTGGCTTAGAGCACGATCGACGTAAACGTTGACAACACTCCTCCTGTGCCTGTCTGGGCAGTCACTCTTGGCATTGAGGCACATTCCTATGTTTGTTTCCTTAGTGTAGACTGCAGTGTGGAAACATCCGCTCTTTTCCGTGACTGTTACATCTAGAAAGAGCAGCTTCCCATTATTCTCCATCTCGTAAGTGAAGCTCAACACAGAATTCCGCTCAAATGCCTCCGGCAGCTGCTGCAGACATCTGGCATCAGGTACCTGCGTAAAAATGTTGTCAACATACCTGCAGTATATGGCGGGTTTCAAGCCCATGTCAACTAAGACCCTTCGCTCGATGGTGCCCATGTAGAAATTCGCAAACAGGACACCTATGGGGGAACCCATGACGACCCCATCTACTTGCTTATAATTGTGCCCATCTGGACTCAAGAAGGGTGTCTCTTTAGTGCAAGCTTGGAGTAGTTTCCTCAATGTGTTTTCTGGCATGTCAAGAGGAGTACAAGCTGGGTCACGATACACTCTCTCTGCTATCATCCCGATTGTTTCGTCCACCGGCACGTTGGTAAATAGTGACCTCCCGACGACATTAGTCATGGCTAAGAGATCAGAGTTAATTTTCATCGAACCTTGAAATTACCAGAGAGAACACGAGCCTCAAATAAGCGCGGTAACTTGCTTAAACTCACAAGTCAAATGTACAAAGGAACTCACTCTTCTGTGAACTGCCTCGAACCTTGGAAGCCAGAGTGTTCGCGCACCCTGACACAAACGCGACCTTTAACGTTTATCGCGAACACTCTGGCTTTTCAAGGTTCCAGGCAGTTCACAGGAGAGGAAGTTCCTTTGTACATTTGACTTGAGAGTTTAAGCAAGTTACCGTGCATATATATATCTATATAAATAAAAATGGATATGTTCATTTGTTCAAAATCGATTATCTCCGAAAGTTCTTCGCCGATTGCTTTGAAATTTTCACACAACGTTCCATTTGCATCCGAGCAGGTCTTTATATACATACTATAAAGATGTCAAATCTGTGAGGGTAAAAAACATGCTTTTTCTGATAAACTGTGTTTTTCATGTGATGGAAATCCTCGAAACCTCTACACCGATTGCTTTGAAATTTTGACACAACGCTGCATTCGAGTAGGCGCGTCCTTTTGTATATCTACCATATACATGCCTCACCTGTGACAGGAAAAAAACATGTTTTTTTTTTGAAAAACAGCGCCATCTGTTGGATGTAAGAGCAACACACACTGTAATGTCCGGAAGTTCTTCACCGATTGCTTTGAAATTTTGATACATCGTTGCATTAGAATAGGGGCGTCTTTTTATATACCTACTATATGGATGCCACCCCTCTGACAGGTAAAAATATGTTTTTTTTTTTTTTAAACAGCGCCATCTGTTGTACATAATAGCAACATGCACATTATTCAAAATATGTCACGAATTCCATTTCAATGTTTCCGATTGCATTGAAATTTTTTATTTTCATAGATTTCGATTTATTTTGTTTTTTCTTTATTGAATTATTATGTGTGACATTGCGTTGGAATTGAGCTGTGTTGTTTACCATACCGTTCATTTCGTAAGTATATGTATCCACACCTGTAACAGGTAAAACTATGCTACCTTACCTTACCTTACCTCAAGGTAAGGTACTTGAAAAACAGCGCCATCTGTTGCATATAAGAGCAATACACATGCTATACTAAATATGTTTCAATTCCATTTCAATGTTTCTGATTGCATTGATAAATTGAATTTTCATAGATTTTGATTTATTTTCATGTTGATTTAATTATTTTGTGTGAATTGCGTTGGAATTTTGCTGTGCAGTTTACCATACCTTTCATTTCGTAAGTATAATTTATTTCTTTATTTTTTCATATTTTCATTAAATTTTTTAACAGTTTTTCTTATATTTTAGTGATTGGAACATCAGATCACTTGATATTCCCAATTTTCTGATGGGAACATCAGACCATTTGGGAAGGCATCAGACGAGGGAGTGGTGGATGACGAGGGGACGGAAGTAAGAGATGGTGGGGAGGACGAGGGACAAGGGAGGAGGTAATGGTGGGGAAGGACGAGGGGACGGGGGAGTTTGGGATGGTGGGGACGAGGGGATGGGGAATGGAGAATGGTAGGGAGGACAAAGGGACTGGGGAGTGGGGCATGGTGGGAAGGAAGAGGGAATGGTGGGGAGGACGAGTGAGGGGGGAATGGTGAGGAGGACTGGTGACAGAGAAGATTGATGTGGCTCAGCAACGCACATGCGTTGCTGAGCCACAGCAACGATTGGCCGGGTACTGCTAGTATATATATATATATATATATATATATATATATATATATATATATATATATATATATATATATATATATATATATATACATATACATATATATATATATATATATATATATATATATATATATATATAATATATATATATATATATATATATATATATATATATATATATATATATATATATATATATATATACCGTGCCCTCAGCCACAGCTCAGAATGGAAGGAAGTCGACGAAGAACTCTGTAGGGTAAGGCAGGTCCTAGTCAACAACGGCTTCTCCAATGGTTTCGTCGAAGACATCATAAGAAGGAAAGTGAAACGCCATGCAACCTCTGAAGAGACAACCAACACAACACCTATACCCCCTATTAGACTATTTTACAGGAACTTCTTTTCCACAGCTCATAAAACGGAGGAAAGGGTCCTGAAAGATATTGTCAGTAGAAACGTTATCCCTACAGACAAAAATCAGAAGATACAACTGACGATTTACTATAAAACAAGAAAAACGGCCAGCCTACTCATGAGAAACTCTCCAGACACAAAGCAGAACGTTTTAAAAGAGACCAACGTCGTCTATGCCTTCAAATGCCCTCTTGGGGACTGTAAGCCTCAAAAAACCCAGTATATAGGCAAGACAACAACATCTCTTTCCAGGCGTTTAACGATGCATAAGCAACATTAAGGGCTCCATTAAGGAACATATAATCTCTTCCCACAAACAAACCATCACCAGAGAAATCTTAGCAAACAACACAGAAATCATCGATAGATACAGCGGTAGCAGGCGGCTTGACGTCTGTGAGGCACTACACATCAAGAAGTCAACACCAGCAATCAACAGCCAATTAATGCACAACTATATTCTACCCAGTTCAAGATTCCGCTCCAATATAGAAGCATCAAGAAATATGGGCCAATAGGCTTTCTACAATTACTTCCATTCAATACCCATTGTTTCGTGTTCTGTCTTGTGTTTGAATTTAATACCCATTCAATACCCATTGTTGAAAGTTTGTTTTCACCTCATCCACCTCACCCAAATGTAGATATAAAATCGAAGATGTGTAAGCTCTATTCTGTTTCAGTTGTGTGTTTGTAAACTAAAGTCTTTGTAAACTAAAGTGTCGCGTCAGACTAGAAATAAAAATGAATTTTGGAGAATTGATCTTTGAATTACCATCAACAGTGAAAAGAAACGTAAGAAAGATCGAGAAAATTCGTGTTAGAATTATTAATTTTACTTTTTCGGTCATACTTAATAATATATGTCTACACTCTACAGGAAAGACTGCTACCAAAATATACTAATATATATATATATATATATATATATATATATATATATATATATATATATATATATATATATATATATATATATATATATATATATATATATATATATATATATATATTTTTATATATATGTGAGAAAGCTGCATGAACGCGCAAGCCATATATCACTGAGAACTCTTTGACCCGGCCAGGATTCGAACCCATGCCGTCCAGGATCACCCCTAAACGTACACAGTATTGTGACCACCGCACCAATGCTCAATGAATAGACGATCATTGGTGCGGTGGTCACGGTACTGTGTACCGTGACCACCGCACTATGTACCGGTACTGTGTACTGTGTACTGTTTAGGGGTGATCCTGGACGGCATGGGTTCGAATCCTGGACGGCATGGGTTCGAATCCTGGCCGGGTCAAAGAGTTCTCAGTGATATATGGCTTGCGCGTTCATGCAGCTTTCTCACATATATATATATATATATATATATATATATATATATATATATATATATATATATATATATACATATATATATATACACATATATTCATTCCATAAATTTTAACAGAAAGTAACATTCTAGGAACATAGATGCCCTGGATCCATCAGAAGGAATGTTGAACATTCTTACAGAAACTGGAGTGTACAGCCTTATATATCAGGAGTTCATAAGCCAGGACCCGACAACCATTCCTGAAGGTGAGAACCCGTCCACATCTTTGTCTTTAATAAATATAAATATGTATGAAAATCCAGAGTATGGAACCTTAAGTGAATACTGCAATGCTTCTGTATTGTAAATAAATGCTAATATACATAGAGATACTTAACGCCTTCCTAAAATTCATGTCACTACACTCACTTATCTAAATCCATAACTTATATAAAAGCATGTGTTCAATAATGCTATCATTATTATA